TGCTCCGACTACTTTTAGATATTAGATCAACAACGAATGCTTCGATTATCATGATTGATTAATAAAATATTTTTCATTACTTTTGAATTATGGAAACTCGACAAGTTAGTAATTCATCGTTTTTTATGACTTTAATGTGATCTCAGTCAGCAGTTCAACTCAAACGATAGTTAAAACAAAATTAGCCGTTATATCGCATCTAACTGCACACACACACTTACAATTCCAATCATACTTTTTTAAGGTAATATGTCAGGGTAGTTGGGTCGTTAGAACATGTAACCAACAATGAAGAACTTTTTTCCGAAAGTGAATAGATGGAGCCTTGTGGCGCAAAAGTGCTATGTGCGATTTCAAAAGGGTATGATATCTCACCGCATATTAGGTCCGGTGAGTGGTTCACAAATATGCTTCTTCACTCATCTCGTACCAGCACATAGCTTTCTACATGTATCGTTACTCTACCCAAAACTTTTTATTTTCAAAAAGATCTCGTACTTTGTTAAAACAAATTAGGTTACATTTACAGACCTTCAACGAGCCTGACATACAAGTATCGGTGAAAATATCGATATTTAGCATCATTTATAGTTTTTATCCTTGTAGCCAAACAATAAATAAAGAAAATTAGTTGGAATTTCTTCCTTATCTTTTTCTCTCCTCCTTAATTTGGTAAATATCACTCCCCCTCTCCTATCATTTTTTGGTGGTGAAATAAAGTTTTGGAGCGTGACACTTCAATGTGCGCCGGAAATCTTCCCATGTATAGAACGCACAACGAACAAGAGGGAAAATCGAAGAATTCAAAAAAATCGTACCAAATACATTCTATATCGACCCCTCCGGCTGTCCTATAAATACCCATTCTAAATTCCTCACTTCCTCACCAGTCAGCACTGTCACTGTCAGGAAGAAGAGAGAGAGAGAGTCTAGTTTTCAGGTCCAGTCTTTTGACCTTTACAAGTCAAACACGCGCCACTCTTTTTCCATCACGATGGCCAACGTCAGTGTTAGAGTGCTCCCCTGCGACGGCGACGGCTTTTGCATGGCCTGCAAAACGAAGCCGTCAGCCGAGGAGACGCTCACGTGCAAAACCTGCTCCACCCCCTGGCATGTGGCTTGCCTCGCCGTCCCCCCCGAAACCCTTGCCGAGACTCTCATGTGGGACTGTCCCGACTGTGCTCCGCCGTCCGACGACGGACAGATCGCCGGTAATACGGTCGCCGAAGGAGGAGAGGCCGGAAGCTCCGGCGAGCTGATCGCGGCGATCAGAGCCATCGAGTCGGACGAGTCTCTGACCGAGCGGGAGAAGGCAAAGAGGAGGCAGGAACTGATGTCGGGAGGCGCGCGACCACCGTCCGATGGCGTCGGCGCGAATCCAGAGAAGGACGACAAAACCGTCGGTGAAAACGATGGCCTCGATAATCTCGAGGTCGATATCAAGTGCTCGATTTGCATGCAGCTTCCGGAAAGACCGGTTACGGTTCGTCATCCAAACTGACACCAACTGTCGTGTTCTGAATTTCCGTTTCAAAGCATTTTTGTTCTTCTCAACTTCCCATTTATTATTCATATATTATTTAACTTAGAAAATGCAGAATTAAAGTCTCACTTTGTCGGGAAGTGAGCCCGATTAAGAGATTAGATTAATTTAAAGTAATTTAGACTATCGTAATGGAATTGCTTAATTGATTTGATCTCACTTCGCCCTGAAGTGAGCCGTTCTGTCAGGGGATTAGATTAATTTAAAATTCTCTTAGGAGATTAGATTAATTTAAAGTTGTTTAGATTATCACTTGTATTAAAAAAAGAGAATTGCGTTAAGGAATTTTATCTGCTTCTGTGTTTAATTGTTTCAGACACCTTGTGGTCACAACTTCTGCCTCAAGTGCTTCCAGAAATGGGTGAAGCAGGGAAAGCGAACCTGCGCGAATTGCCGCCGCGCAGTCCCGCCGAAGATGGCGAGCAACCCTCGAATCAACTCTGTGCTTGTGGAGGCCATCCGCATAGCGAAGCAGTCAAACGGCTTCATCGGAGAGGAACAACGAGCCAGGGTGGTTCACTATGTCCAAATCCAAAACCAGAACCGGCCTGACAAGGCGTTCACCACAGAGCGAGCCAAGAAGGCCGGCAAGGCCAACGCCGCGAGCGGCAGAATCTTCGTGACCATCCCGCCTGACCATTTTGGACCCATTCCGGCCGAAAACAACCCTGAGAAGAAGACGGGGGTGTTGGTTGGGGAGACTTATGACGGCAGGATAGAATGTAGGCAATGGGGTGTTCATTTTCCGATGATTTCTGGGATTGCCGGGCAGTCCAAACATGGGGCCCAGTCGGTGGTTCTCTCTGGTGGCTATGAAGATGATGAGGACCATGGCGAGTGGTTTCTTTACACAGGAAGGTAATTATATATAATTATTAGAATAATTATAATTAATTAATTCATAATGATATTTTAATGAACCTGTTTTGTCTTGATTAATCTTTGGTTTTGTGCTGAACTGTACAGTGGTGGAAGGGACCTTAGTGGCAATAAGCGTACAAATAAGGCTCACACTTTTGATCAGAAGTTTGAGCTGAGGAATCAGGCACTAAGAGTAAGTTGCCTACAGGGTTACCCTGTTCGAGTTGTCAGGTGAGTTTTGGGTCTATCAAATAGAAAATATCTGATGCCAGAACGAATTTTTTTCACTTAAAAACTTTGTCATTTTTGTTTTCTTTATCGTTTAGGTTGAATCTTATGTGTTTTAGCTAACACTAATTATTCTTTTGGGCAGATCCAAGAAGGAGAAACGCTCCTCTTATGCCCCGCCAGCAGGGCTACGATACGATGGAGTTTACAGAATTGAGAAATGTTGGACAAAACATGGAAAACAAGTAAACAACTCTTCATAATTGCATATGTCAGATTTTGATTCATACTTAATATGTTCATTAACAAGAGTTTTGCTCTTTCAGGGTTTTAAGGTATGCAGGTATCTTTTTGTTAGATGTGACAATGAACCTGCCCCTTGGACAAGGTATATATGAATGTCCCCTTTTTTTTGTTTCTCTCTATGTCTCTCTCTGTCTCTCTTCACTCTTTATTTTTGGAAAATCAATCTGCAGTGATGTTCATGGAGACCGTCCAAGGCCTCTACCAGTTATTCCAGAATTGGTGAATGCGATTGATGTAACAGAAAGAAGGGTAGAACCTTCTTGGGACTTCGATGTAAGATTGTTTCATTGCTAATTTATATGGTTTTAGCTGTGCCGGTTTATCTTCATTTAAGAACGTCAATAAACATGTTATTTGTGCATCTCAGGAAGAAAAAGGTTGCTGGATGTGGAAAAGGTCTCCACCACGTAGCAAAATACCGGTGGATAGTGGGAACCTAGGAGATAAGAAACAGACTAGGAAAGTTATCAAGCGAAAACAGAAAACGACTGTTAGCAAACGGCTTCTGAAAGGTATAGCTTTATGATAAAATGTGTGTAATTCCTGCCATTTTATTACTACTGCTCATGTAATCACCATAACTCCTTGTTTCCTTAATTTTAATGCAATATGTTTAACAAGCAAATTGCGGTCGATGCAGGGTTGGAATGCTACCTCTGTCATAATGTTATGACTCTCCCAATTACTACACCATGTGCTCACAACTTTTGCAAAGATTGCTTAGAGGGCGCCTTTGCTGGCATAAGCGCAACAACACAGCGGACATGCCAAGGCAGACGTACATTACGGGCAAAGAAAAATGTGATGAAGTGTCCTTCATGTACGAATGACATAGCAGATTTTCTTAACAATCCGCAGGTATGTAGTCTGCTGCATATATGTTCGGGTAGTCCATATTGAAGTTCACTCCATACTGAAGTGGATGCATCTAATCTTAACCTTAATGCTTGGCAAAATTGTACAACACTGTTAAGGCAGGTTTGTGTATGCTACTTCTGTCTGTTTGGTGCAGTTGCAGTTTTATTTTGTTATCCTACTGTGTTTTCAACTCTGATCAGTGATGACTTCTTCTTACATAGTTCTACCCTAATAAATATTTTAATCAGTTGCAATTTCGCCATTAATATATGTTAACGTGTTGACAGGTTAATACAGAACTCAAGAATATCATAGAATCACTCCAGGTGAAAGCTGTTAAGTCAGAGGAAGATGCTAAAGAGTCAAGTAAACATACTGATGGCTCACATGAAGATTTGGTTGCTGAAGACCTCGAAACTCGGAATGCAAGTGAAGCAGCTCTGGACGAAGCCAAAGAAAGTGCTGACATTTGTATGACAGATGCAGAGAGACATGAGGGCAAGGAGCATTTTAAGCTGAAAGATTCTGTTAACAGTGAGGTAGAACTTGGTCCAGTTGAACCTGCAAAGGCCAACAAGAAGGAACTGCAAGCAACTGCAGTTGAGAGAAACTTAAAGCAGACTCGCAAGCGAAAAAAGGCGAACAACGGAGGTAATGCGTTGGATGTCGGGGCAATGACTAGTAGCAAGAGGGGTAAAGTGGAAGCAGCAGCGTGATTTTGCTTCATGAATCGGCAACCGGTTCAATTTTTATTGTGTCTTTAGGAAAGGGGGTCTGCAGCAAAATAGCTGTTTTTTATTATTTTTTCCGTCGAACAATTGCTGGTGTTTTTTTTTCGGGGAAGGCCAACCATGGTAAGCATTTATGCTAGTTAATAGTTGTCACTGTTTATTAATATGACCGTGTCAACTATATAAAAAAATAAAAAAATAAAAGGTGTGCCGTTATTCCAATTGCTGCTAATATGTTCTTCAATTCAATAGGAGGCCATATTAATTTTTCAATTTTAGTGATGATAATGTCTTTCATTGCAGATTTATGTTCTTTAATCTGTCAGCAATGGCTCTTGCCAAATCTTGACTGGCATATAAAATTATATAAAATAAATAAATAACTAATTAATTATTTTGGTAAAGATAATCTAATTAGCTATTGTTCTTTTGAATTGAAATGACATGGTTGCAAGGAAAGAAGGAAACACATAGGGACCATAAGAATATGAAGACTCTATAAATATGTAAGTAGCTTTAGAAAAGTGTCTAACACTCAGAGGTTTTGTACAGTATAATCTACCTCAAAATTCTTTTCCAGTAGAACTAGAGACTAAAGAGCCATCGTGACTCAATACACCTAATCGAAATTCTGACTAAACTTCTCTTGCTCAAGCTTCTCAATCACGGCTTGCTTCTCAACTTCAGGCAGAGAATTGAACGTGAAGACAGACTTGTCACCAATGTCATCCTTGAATTGAAAGTGAAAAAGACAGTTCATTACCAAATGTATTGGCCATTAATATTAATCTCAAATGGTAACTGAAAATATATGTATAAAAAAGGGATTTTTATACAATTAAGTCAATTGGAAAACTACCTTAATTGGTTGAGTGAACTTTCTTCCAGAAAATATCACAAACAGAGCCATCCATAATCCCAGCAAAGAAAGTTTTGTTCCATCATCCATCAAGCCACTCTGTGTTTCAATCAATTCAAATGAGCATGAACTGCCTAGATAAAACAGGATATAAAAGCTAGGGTTCAACTTTGAAACATGAAAAGGATCAGTTTTTAACAAGATATATGCAAGAATAACAATATACCAGGTGCCCAAGAAGGGTGATAGGTATAATGAATGTGAGAATTCCAGCTTCCAATTTCCCATAGCAGAGACCTGAAATAAGCACTCTATTTAAATTTACTGATCTAAGGCTTGAATTAAATACAAGCGAGTAAAGTCAACAGGATCTAGCCCAATGAAAAATGTTCCAGCGAACGGAGTCTGAACCATGCTTGTACTTCAAAAAGAAAAAAGAAAAGTGAGCAACAAGGCAAAATAGAACACATTTGAGCTCTCTCATTACCTTCCTTGAAAACTAGTCCTGTGAGTGATACAAAGAGAGGGCCAACAAACCAGACAGCTATTGGGTTATCAACAACATACTGAACTAAGCCCTCTCCAGCTGGAAAAGCCAAGCTTGCATATGCAGCCACAGACCCAACAACACCAAGCCCCCAAAATGCTTGCAGAGTGCGCTTAATTTCAGTCACATAAATGTGAATCAGAAACAAAGACAAACCCAACCCACCAGCTCCAATTGCATAGACAAAATCAAGATTGTGCTTCACAATTCCAGTCAAGAAAAAGCTATCAGGCAAGAAGGCAGCTGAGGCAGCAACTACAAATGATGCAGCAGCTGTCACGAGTCCTGACCTGTACAAAATCACCTGCCACACCAATGCAAACCCCAAAAACAAAGATGGGTTAACATAAAAAAAAAATTCTGGGTTAGACTTGGATGGAATTAATTAGCATAATAATTAGAATATGAATTAGAAAGAGGTACCTCTCGAACGTCGGTGGAGTCAACGGTCCAAGGACCGTAGATTCCTGGATAAACAGTTTCGGCCAAGGAGGTCTGAGGCTGAGAGCTTTCGCCGAGAGCTTTGCACCTGAAAGATTGAAGCCGAACTGATGAAGCCTTATCTGAAGAACAAGACAGAGGGAGCTTGGAACAAGTATTTGTATTGGCAAGCTTCGCAGCAGGAGGAGGTGGAGGAGGAGGAGTGACGATGCCTGCACACAGGCATAGCATTTTTGAAGCCATATGTGTGTGCGCTTTTTTTTTCTTTTTGGGTAATTAATGCAAGTTGAGAACCAAAGGGATTTGCTAATTTTCAGTTATTTACTTGATGCATAAAATAAAAAACAATCCTTTTAGCCTTTGTTCAGATGTGTGGATGTCACAAGCTTGTCCTGAAATTCTATTATTCTCCGGTTGATCTTTTGGATAATAGCCTTAAGATGCGAAGACATTTCAACAACGTTGAGATGGCCGAGTTGGTCTAAGGCGCCAGATTAAGGTTCTGGTCCGAAAGGGCGTGGGTTCAAATCCCACTCTCAACAATAATGTCATATTTTTTTACTCCTTTCTCCTTTTTAATTTTTCTTTTCCGAGGCCAACAGGCCCAACATTAGACGGCTGAGAGAGAAGCAATGGATGGCCCAAAGAACGCGCAATATATGCAGACAATGAATGAACTGGCCATTTGAGCTGCGTGTTTCTGCTTTTTTTTTTTTTTTTTTTTTGGGTTCAATTATAGATTCTGCTTTTCTTTTTGATACGGGTGTGTTTCTACTTTATTTTTTCCCTAGGCCACCTTCATTTATTCTCATTGGACCACACCACCACTTATTCTCATTGGACCAGCCAAACCACTCATTCTCATTGAACCAAACTTTTAAAGATTCATGGTTTTTCTCATTCAATTTGGTTTTCTTAGAGCACTTCCACCCATTTGCCATGACTAAGAGCAACTCCACCGCAGGTCTAAACCTGGGCAAAAGGCCCCCCTCAACAGCCCAAGGGAGCTCCAGCGTTGTAGCCTGCAGCCCGATTTGGCGTGGGTCCCACCAGCCCGGGCAAGCCCAAGGGCAAGTTTCGCCTGGGCTTCAGCCCGAGAGCTGTGACATCAGGGCTGACGTCACGCTGACGTCAGCTCGTGGCAATTCAAAATTTTTTTTACCGTTGGCGCTTGAGTTACACGCGCCAACGGTAAAAAAAATTTGACTTCAGCGCATGTGCCATGTGTCGCAACCGGGGCTCTCCGATGGGTTTTTTGGCAGGAATCTGACGGTCCTCGTTTTTTGGGCTAAAAAAATTGCAAAAAAAAATCAAAAAAAATACCAAAAAAGTATGTATTTTTTCCCTATAAATACCTATCCATTTTATTCACTTTCCACACCAAATCTTCATACAATTTCTTCTCCATCCAATATTTTTTACCCTCCACTCACATTATTCACTTTCCACACCAATTCTCCATACAAACTCTTCTCCCTCCAATATTTTTTACTCTCCACTCACATTTTTC